TTTACATAATGCTGTTTACATACACCCATCATATCCACATATATACATAACACGACATAAAGCTAGGATAGTTATCCCTCCAATGAACCATCATGCCCCTATACAGTAGAATCAATCAATAGTATAGTTGTCTCTCCGACTCCGAAGATTAGTTATTTTGATAGCAACCATAACATCCTGGTTATTAATGAAGTGAGCAAGAACTTGTGAATCAAACTCCACATGCAGAGGTTGTGTTTGCAACTTAAAAGGCAACAAGCAAGCCTAGTCTTAAAGCCTCAAATTCTGATGATGGCACCCGAACCTACTGCTTTAGTTATCTGGTGGTGGGGGTGTCCATGATGATATATTAACCATTGGGATCTGGACTCAAGTCTTGGAACCTGGCTTCATTCCTAGCCAACCATACATGCCATAGGCCAAACACAAACCTACAAAGTAGTTGTGCGCATCCTTTTTGTTTCAACTTGAACATAATTCCATGAATACCATTAGCCAAACTGCTTTTGAATAAGGACATCGACAGAACAAATGATACGCAGATTCATTCCCACTTCGCAGTTCTCATCTGTTGCGGAGAACATCAGAAGTTGGTAGCACGTTTGTTCTTACTTTTGCCCCCAAAATGCATTGGTCTTTAAACAAACAGGCACATTATTGCTTCTTTCTTTACCCTCCCACCCTCATGTATCACAATAGGAACCATGTATGTTTCTTGCTCCTAAAATTGCACATTCACTCACTATGAACCTCTACAGGAATCAGACATCTGTGAACCTCAGGAATCAGACTTGTAGTCAATTTCACTTTCTTGATTATTCAATTCTACTTTTAATATACAAGTTATCTTCTTCTTGTTAACCCAATATCTAAAACCTTTTAGAACAATATATATAAAACCCAACAGTCTCCCCTCTGGCAACTTCTTGTTCCTCTGCTTCATTTCACCCACTCGTCTTCAATCAAAAAAGTGCAAGCAAAACTAGGAAATTAAATGTTTGTGTAAATAATAAGTATAATTGCACAGAGCTTTGACAGATCTGAATATACTCTGATATTTACTACAGTATTAACTCTTTGGCTGTGGTTTACATACAGACACGCATGCTTTAAAATAAAGCATGACAAGATACACTGTCTATACCAACATGCTGCATCTTATTTCAAACACACCAGATGCATCATTCCTTTAAGCGCAAATGCACCAATATTTATAGATGAAATGGACAAAGATATTGTGCTGCTTCCCCGCACGGACACACACTCAAAAAAAAAAAACACCATTAATCAAGTCAACAAATACAGAGTCATGTCTGTAGTCACCACATACTTGTATTAACCCTTGAACTGTGCATACTGATTCTCAATATTGCATCCCTTGTGTATCCGGCACAGCCATATCCTAGCAAAACAAAGTGAAAATGTCATATAATTATTGGTAAAAAAAATCTTGGAACAGTTAAATGAAAACTATACATCTCTATCAACAGTACAGCTCCATTATAATCTCCAACAAACTGATTTGACCATGTATAAGTCATACGCCCCAATCCTCAGCAGAATTCACATTATCGCATGGTACCCATGTTACCCTCACTACGGAACATATGCTCCAGAACCTGACTGCGACATGTGGGGAGATTCACGATCTGTTGCATGCGAAAACTACGTCAATATGTGATGTATTTGATGTGTGCATGTGTGATGAGTCCGTGACAGTGTGTTGGTTATTTACTTCGGTTTTGAGAGTTTGTTAGGAGAAGAGAAGGGTCATTTAAAAAAAAAAAAGGAAAAATTGATGAAGTTAGAAAAGAAGGGAGAGGGAAGGTATACACGGAGTGGCTAGGATCATTTCCCCACAAAACCTGTGATACCCTAAGGGGAATGCTGAAAACAAGCCTAACCCTGAGAGGTGATAGTCGTGCCAGGTGATTTAGTTACGCATTAGCTAGAATACTGTGTAGAATGAGTCATGAGATGCACAATACCTAGCACCAAGTCATTTGAAGAAAAACATACATCCCAACGAGTGTACTTCAGTGGGAACAAATGAACAATACAGCAGTAAGTGTGGGTCATCATAGAGTTGCATCGAAGCTGAGGAAGCTCATCCTAGGGTGTGGAGGCTGTAACACCTAAAGAGGTATGCTGGAAAGGTGTCTAGCACAAAAGAGGGTTATTATGATAGTCTTTACTATAGGAGTGAATCGTCTGACAACTAACCCATACCCAGTTGTACCAAGGACATCAATTTAAAAGCTACTCCTAAAAGAAAGAATACATTGTACCGGCTTTATAAAGTAGCTATAGTATGTGAATTCGTCAATTTGTTGTTGCATCATCTCACAGCACATTAAATACTTCATTTTTTTAGAAAGTCAACATATGCCTATAAGATCAGATTTCAACGTCTCCATAGAATTTAGACTCTTACTCTGCAAATGGATTCAGACTAAAATTGGTGGCTAATTTAGCATCTATCAGAGTAGGTCCTAACAAATAACAGCTGAACGAGTGCTTAGAAGAAGTAGACTTCAAAAGAATGGTAATGTCCTCCCCTTCTGATATAAAACAATCAGTCGATAGCAAGGTAACAAGATTAGTCCTTACCAGGTCAGAAATCAGGTTACTTTTTATCCCAGCAAGAGATCCCAGTGGCGCTTGAGAGCCTCATATCCCTCTGAACATGGAAGAGCTTGCAGTCTGATGTTTAAATCAGTAGAATTTTCTGTTACAACTCCCAACCTTAATAAAGTATTTATGGCCTTATCAACTGGCATTTCAACCTGCATACATTTCAGCCCAATATAGTAGTTATTCATTACACATAGTTGGCTGCATTGAAGGAATGCTATCATCAGTACCTTCTCATTGAAACTGTTGTATATAAATTTTTCACAAGTATCCCCAACAAATTTGCGACAAGTCACCTGCATTATCAAACACCAAATCAGTTGCTCTGGGAATAACAATATATGGTTTATAGTAATAGACAAAGGTCAAATAGGATCCTGTTAAAAGTCCTGGGGTCCAACTCAAAACCAATTGGCAATGAATAGTGTTGCCCAGGAAATATATTATTAGCAAGGCCCGCCAATGTCCAATGTAGGACTAAACATCTTAACAGATCCCAATTTATAGATAAAAAAGAATATTATATCCTTAAAAGGCCACTTCTATACTTTCAGGAAAGTAAATTGTCGCAGTTGACCACTACTAAAAGATACTCATTCTGAGCACAGATCCAAAACCGAAAAGAGGAACAAAGACAATTGAAGGAAAGATTCAAAGATATGCCAGAACCCTTCGGAAACAGAAATGTATAAAGCTATGTGGACACAAAATGGAGTTAAGGGAAAGATATAGGTCCTTCTCTAGCTTGTCAGAAAAATAGTTATTTACTTTATTCAATAAAAAATTCCAAGGAAGACGGACTCTACCAGTTTAGACCCTTACTCCTGTGTTGAATGGTCCAAAAAGTTATTTTTGCAATGTATAATGTCTACTTGTTAAACTATGATCTTAAATCCTAATAACAGCTAAAAATGTTATCATGATGTTCATTGATTTATGTCCTAAAAAGAGGACACTGAACACAAACAAGTATTTTACTTCAGCACTAGGGAACAAACCGGGCACTCACATGCAGCAAGCCCACTGATACCACTAATGCAAATTATCAACGCACCTGAATTTATCAGCAGAAGAATTGTACTGCAATGAAGCATATAATTATTACATGGCAGTGGTCGTGTCCTTAAGAAGGGAAACTGAACCCTACAAGTTACATGCAGAAAGCACACTGATATCACTAATACAAGGCCATGGAGCATATAATTATTTTGATTTTCTTATTTCTGTGATGTGGGGAAAATGATTATTGAAATTTCAACCCAAAAGTGATATACAACTGCGGAACTGCCTACCTTCCCCAAAATTTGGTATCGCAAGAAGATCTTTCAACTAGAAGTGCATTGATTAGAGCACTGCATCCATAAACATAATCTTGCTTTGCATGTAATTAGTATATGTGAGTGGTTTTTCCTTCTACATGACAATTACATCTAAGAAAGAACAGGCCTGACCTCTCAGAAGTATTGTAAGGCCACGAAGCATGTGCTAAATATATAATATATATAAATGTCTTCCCTTCTACTAAAAAGTATACAACCGAGCAAGAACAAACCTGACCGTCCTTTGCCTGAAGCAGCACTGCATATGCCAGAAGAGCTTCTTTGTACTGCAAAGAATATTGTCAGAATTACAGTAGACACGCAAATTATGATTGGATACTTTTAGGGATCGAAATATACCTGCTGCTGCTCAGAGGCATCCAGAAGAAAGTGAACTGAACCAAAACCACTGGCTAAGGTCTTCTCATAGAGTGTCCTGTTCACCAGAAGCTGTAATAGTGGCCTAGTAAGATGTGAATGTATGTCTTTAGCATACATAATGTATGGTGAGAAATTATATCAAAACATGTAAAATTATTCTGTAAGCATGACAAGGGCAAAGCTGCAACTTACTACTATAATATGTTCAAAATGCCGAATTTGTACTTGAATATTTGCAAAAGCAAACATTTTTTTTTTTTTTT